ATATATATATACATAGGAGAGAGAGAGAGAGAGAGAGAGAGAGAGAGAGAGAGAGAGAGAGAGAGAGAGAGAACAGACAGACCCTCAAGCTTATTCACTCAAATACGACCTCTAAGGCAGACATCGAATAGACGTAATACACGCAAAAAGATTAATTTTCTGGTTTGTTTTGCATAACAATTCCGTTGTATACGGACCTTCAACTAATGAGCCAACGTTTCTTTAGCAATAACATACTTAATTGGTCTCTGAGAATCCTAAATTCCCTTGTAAAAATGCGCTTTTCTGGGTAAAAGATATAAAATTGACGCAAATTGCTTAACGAACGACTAAAATTAGGCAATCTTTTTAGGAAATAATAAATGTTTTTCCCCGTAAAGATGTCAATTTTTTTATAATGAGCGCAAAACTCTCCAAGCTCGACATCGTTGATATTGCATGATCTATTCCATTGATGGTTTATATTCAACCAAATGTTTGATTATTTTTGAGAAAAAGAGTTATTAGACCTCAGTGTACAGTGTCCGTGAATGAGACAAGCCCAATATTATGTTCACATGATAAATTGCGCGCGCTTTTTTAAAGAAGCATTACCAAGCTGCACTTTGTTAAGAGAGAGCAAAATCCAAAATAACAAAAGGACTTTTTACCTTGATTTTTTGATGAGTGCGCGCACGTGWACGCAGGCTTCCTGGACGAATTGATTCAAGACCAGATATGATAACATATATCTGTACTGTAGAACTAGATAATAAATAACTCCAAGTAGTGGCAAACACAAGCCTCTCGTCAAACAAACGTAAATCTTATTGAGTGTTTACATCCTAGAGACGAAAATACGTATTAAAAAATAAAGACAATATAGCGGAGATTTGAGTAAACTTTTTCAACGCTAAGTGGTGTAGGCGTGGCTGCCAAGAGGTAAAAAATTCGAATGTGCGGACAGTGAAGACAGGAACCGCAAACACGTTTTTTTCCACGATTCTTCTGTCCTAAACTATTTTGAACTTTCAAACCCTCTAGAATGAAGCACTGAGTTAAAATACGCCGTCGAACCAAGATAATCTTATTTCCATTCAATTTACTCAAGGGAAGATGATTTCGAGTATTCATTTTGAGAGTGACGAAAACTCGAAAGCGTTCAAGGTTCAAGTGCCTTCCTTCAGTGTAATGACTATTTTTAACGATTCTATCAGACTCTGAAATAGTATAAACCGGAAATTTTCATAGTTTGTTTGCTTTCTTCTTGCATCAGAGTTGCGATGACCATGTTTCGATCCGAGGCGGCAATTCCTGGACTAAAAGCAATGGCACGCGCGCGTAATGAATGAGAAAATTGGTGAATTTTACGAACAATAGCCTAGCCAAGAGTATAGTGTTCAACTTCTCTCTTGAGAATAAAATAACAGCGTTAAAATCGTACAACGAATCATGAAATCATTTTATGTAAGACCAATTAATATTTGAGTACTTTCAATGAATGGAAGTTAGGCAGATTTCACAATGAAGTTTGCCATTTATATTTCTTTTTTTCTTTTTTTCTTTTTTGTCCGAGTTTTGCACGACAAATCGGCTCCAGAAATTTTATTACTTTCAACAAACATTTCACTGGTTTTGGGTAAGGTTCACAAACAATAAGCCTTGAGATGACGATAAAGCCTGAATTATCAATGAACACGTACGACTGGATATTTATAGAATTGCATTTATTTAAACCCCGCTTAATCTTTGACTTGGGGCAAAAGTACTTCCAATAAAACCTAAAGCTGTAATCTTGGGATATTTTGAAAAGCAGCCGTTCGAAAATAGTGAAAATATAAACAGATATAGCATTTCAATTTGCGGTGAAAAAACCTGACCTTCTTGAACCCCCGCTGCTAGGCTTTCATTGAGGACTTAATCAGTAAAAACAACCTACTTAGTTCCGCACACGTACGTGCAATATAGCTGCACTCTGGAATAAGCATAAACTCGTGTAATGAGGGCGGTTGAACGAAAATGTATCAATCTGAAGTTGTTTTGAGTAGTGCAAAAAATCAATCGCATTTGCTACACTGAAACACATTCTAATCTCGTCTATCAATACCACTTTTTCACTAATAAGCGAAAAACAAATTATTCATTCATTTCTTAAAATTCCAGGAAATATAATTAACGAGGCGCCTTTTGAAGTTATTTTCCAACAAATTAACTTGTACAAGTTCCGGCTAACTGAGGAAAAAAAACCGCATTTGTAAAATACTCAAACATTTGAAGCGACAATTTTTTTCATTTTTCTATTAATCAAACAGTCACTCATTTTATTCTTTTAAAAGGGCACACTTTTGTCTAATCTATTCAGTCAATACTTAATATCTCGATAACGCTTTTGGGAATAATATTAGTAACATTTACATATATTTTTCGTTAAATTTGCTCTAAGTTTTTTGTTTATTTTGTCGCATGACAAATATTCAGATCAAAATACGGAGTTTATTTTTTATAGCTTGTAGACGTGCAAAGCATCATGTGACAAGCGTACGTCAACCAAATCTAGTTTGTATATTGTTTTTGTTTCAGAAATTCAATAATATGTGTTAGCCAGAGTTTTAAAATTCCATTCTTTTCAAAACATTGATCAATTTTTTCCCCAGAAAATAAAGCAACTTGCAAAACAGAAAAGAAAAACAACACCGACGCTTGACATATTTTCTTTTTTTTCAGAATAAACTTTAGTCTCTTCAGTTCTGTTAAATATTTACAAAAATGAAAGCTTATTTTCAGAATATATTGCATAAAGACAGTGAAGAGCTCGATTGAGTGAAAAGAATAAGCGAATAAAGCAGTTAAGTTTGATTTATCCAAGTTAAAATCTTCACGTATCCCTGACTACCATAGATGACAGGCTAACTCAGTAACTCATTTATTTTTAAAGCCCTAAACCCTTCGATTTGAAATTGCTGAAGCTATATACTACCTAAATAAGCTTTTTCTACTTAAGTACTAGCCGGGGATCCATTTCTGGGATAATCTTCCAATGTGTAGAATCTCAAAGCTCTTTGTAAAGCCTATAAACGCTGACCCTTTAGCTAGATTAGGAGGAATGTTTTCCTGCATGGCAGAATGAAAACAATATGTTTTTTAAAGACAGCATGCCAAAGTAAACTTTCTAAATGAAACAACACTGCTAGTTATAGCTTATTCCATAGTAAGTCAAAATTTATTTACAAGATATTCAATTTATACACGTGAACTTGTGATGCAAAATAAGCGATTACCGTTGAAATGTATACTGCAGAACATATTTACAAATGTCGATAATTCTTTTCAATAATTGTACATGTTTTTACACTGAACTGAAATCAATAWCAATATTATTGTCGAGTATCAAAGCATAAACCTTCGAAAATATATGTACAAGGTATTTTTTCTTATATTTTTTTTGCTCACTAGTTCAACAATAGTAATAATCATTTTGGCAAGGAAACTCGAGACTTGAAACTTAAATTTCCAACTCTCTTCAAAATCAAAATATACCAAACTGCAGTATCTAAATACTATGGATTTTCTTTAAATTCTACGTGAAAATACTTCACCAAATATTGATTTTTTTTTGCTGAAGACAATGAAAAATGAATTTTTGCACGTCTGTCTTCAACAGTAAACAATAAAGAAAAAATAGTTCTTGGAACCCGTTTTGTACAAAAGCTGTGTCAATAGCTTCGTTTAGGCAGAGCTATAAACCTAAAATTGTTTTCGTTTCAGCACTGCTGTATTAAGTGATAATCTTTTAGCTAAATTATAATGTATAAATATATACTGGTGTGAAATGTACGACGACACATAATATGAATACTTTATAGTTGTACATCGCTAAATGCAATCGATCAAGTTGTACAAAAATGCCGTTCAATTCGAACCTTGTCTTCTATTAAGATCAAGTTATTTTTTAGCTTTACTTCCAATTTAGTTTTTGAGCAAAATTTGTTGTTTTGTTATGTCGCGTTTTTGTCGGCCATTCGCAGGGTCAAGACCTTCGTACGAATCTTGGCGCTTAGCCGAAATGTTTTGTTCGAACACAACTCGACTGCGATCCAAATAGTCATGTATGTCTGTGCTAAGCTATATAAACATTTATAACAATTATTATTCCCCTTTTTCGTCACGATAATTATAATATATCTTTAAAGAGTCCTATGGGAATAGCAAAAGTACCTCATCAAGCAAACCATCGCACGCCATCGTATTTTGCACCCAGCTTCGCCACGTGATAGTGTTGTCCTTGTAAATTACTCATTTCATTATCCAAAGTCATATTTCTTCACACCTTCGAATCCCACAACGTGTATAAAGATCTGTGATATGTCCCACTTAGGCCTTGAAAGGATCTAACAAGTAAAAGCTCGCGGTCTTGCTGGAGGAAGAGCCTTGTATAGTTTCTTTCGAAATTGCCTTCCTTCAGAGTTTCGCTTCAAAGCTCCAGACTCAATCGCTCGCTGCAAATGAAGCGAGGCTAAATCCTTTTCTTCCTTCGCTAATTCATCATGTCCTTCTTCTTTGATATCGTCTAAACTTGGCTCATAAGACGAGTGCCGTCGTACACGGCTCCCCTTGGTGTTTGGTCCAGACATCTGTGTTTTCTCGGATTGAGAAGCATGAGATTCGATGCTTTTCTCTATGATATGCTCTTCTTCAGGGGAGCTTTTCACGGCGTAAACATTTTCCACGTCCTTTCGTCTGACGGTCTTCCATTCGTTCATTGCAACTGGCTTATCCGTTATACAAATCATTCTGTAAAACGCTACCTCAGTGGTCTGCATATAGGTACAAAACTTCTCGGTTTTGGCAAATAAAATCACGGTCAACTTGTCTGTGATGGACCTCGAGCGATTTAATCGAACAACTACGATGCATGTTGTTTACATCAAGGTGATGTAAAAAGAACGCTCACGTGCTATAAATATTTATAGATCACAATGACGAAATAATCGTCAGAGCGACCGAGAAAAACAGGTCACCTATATATGTCAAATTCCGATCTAAAAGCCTTAGATTTAGGCCCCAAACATAGGATTTTTTAAAAAAACGATCTATATATCAAGGCCATACGCATTTTAACTTCCTTTTGTATAAATACAAATCTAAATGATATAAATCTCATTTACATAAGCAATGTGGTTGCTAAAGTAAATTGGAATTTTCAGCTTTGAAATGAATGAGATTAGCTTATTATGATCTGGACATGAATAGATTAGCTGGTATATTGTCCAAACAATTTTTGTACAAGAAAAAGTGTGAAATATTGACAAAAAATAAACTGCTAAAAACTGGAAAGAATGAATAGCATACTGTTGTGAGGTGAAGACTAAGTCTTTGGTACCCGCTAAAAGGCTTTTTCACGCTTCGAAGAATGGTATATCAACAACAAAACAAAGACGCTGAAAAAAAGTCATCCGTAACAAGAAAATCTTAATTTGCAATAGAGTTGGGAGTCTGTGTTGAAAATACTGATGCTTTATAATTGAAAATGTGCTTGAAAACAAGCTTGTTTATCTAAGTTTTCTCTAAATTATTTTGTATTCTGCTAAGGAAACTCAAAACAACTGGCATATAGAAAGAACAAAATTGTTTTCTACTTATGCGAAAGATATTATTTATTTATTTATTTATTTATATAAACTTACCATGAAATCAATTTTTTTCCAGATTTTTTGTAAATATTTCAAAAACAAAAGCGTCGGTATCTTTTGACCAATTTTCCAAAGCCATAGAAATAATCAAAAACCTGGAATACATTTTTAAAATATAGTTCTTTTACTAGAAATCAATATAACCTTGTGTTTTAGCACGAATTGAAAGGCTGATAAAAGCTTTTCGTTAGGGTATTGTTGCAAACCGCTTTCCAGACACTAATGAATAAACGTGTTCCTAAAAGAGCGCGCTTTAATCAGATTTATTTTATCTGTTCATACTTTAGTACAAACGACCACTAAAATGAGGGATAAGAATATTACCATATCTTGAAAAAGAGAGGATTCTTTGATTTTTCTCTCTCGAGAAGCGTAAAACATGTCAAGGGGGGAAAATAAACAAAGCGCGCGCAAAAAAAGCTAATTTGGGTACCAGCGGCTGCAAATATCACAATAACTATTCGAAACACGTGTTTTTCACAACCAGTAATTAAACAAAAGATCTATATACATAAACATAAGACCAAGTAATGAGCTGTAAAACGATTTTAGACTTAGATTAGAAACTAAGATTATTTTTTGGATATTTGATAAAAGATGTTGAAGATATTTTTGTTGAAAACAGAATGGATTGATATCGTTGTTGGATGAGTTAAGATTGTTATAAGGATAACACGTAATGTTTTTTAGCGAGTTCGTACTTGAACCTGCAAAGACAGTGGTTTTAGGCACGTACAACGATCTTTTATACCATTTGCAGATGGCTTTGGTGAAGCTGACCTTTCGACCTGTTCATGAATGGGTTTCATTTATATTGTGGTCAGTTTTATTTCATATCCCGTTTTGAAACCCGAATGTTTGTATAATATTATATGGGCTTAGAGAGCTAGGCTTTAAGAAGGGAAGGAAGGAGGGAAGGAAGGAGGAAAGAAAGAAAGAAAGAAAGAAAGGAAGGAAGGAAGAAAGAAAGAAAGAAAGAAAGAAAGAAA